ATTCCCCGAGTGCGCCCGGGAGCCGAGCCGAGCCCACCTCCTGCTCCGCCGGGCCGTGCGGATGGCGCGCCAGCCCTGGGGCCCCGGGAGAGCCGCAGGGAGCTCCTGCCGCCCGGAGCCCGCGGTGGTTAGTGCCGCTAGCGTCACCGCTCCTGGGCTTGGGGGCCGCAAGAGGAGCCCACGCCCTCCCCCGGGCGGCCCGCAGCTTTGCTACGGCCGCTGCCGACTCCAGTCTGTGGTCTTCGGTCTTGCCCTGCATCTGCTGGGTGGGCCTTTCCCGGGGGTCTGAGCGCTCCCTTTCCCGAGTCCGCGGGATCTGTCCTCCCAGCGGCCTGCAGAGGCCCTCGGATGGCCCGAGGGGTCACCTGCCTCCGGGGACTCCTCCCTGGCTTGTGAGATTTTGCTTTCCCAAGACTGAAGGATTTTCATTTCCTGACCTGGGGAGTCTCCTCTCCCTGGCACTTAGGACTATTTCTTCTTTGACTTTGAGGAGCCCCTAGGTCCCCAGCCTGCGGGGCCTCCCACCTGTGATCCTGAGAGACCTCCTTCCTCAGACCCCGAGTCGTCTCCCCCGTGACCCCGGTATGTCTTCTGCCTCTGACTTCGGACAGTTTCTTTGTTCTCACTCCGGGAGGCTTCCCCTCTTTGACCCTGAGGGGTCTCTTCTTTCTGTTCTGAGGGTCTTCCTCTCTCTGGCTCTGAGGAGTTCCTATCCTCAGCAGTTTCTGAAGTTCTGCCCTCTCCTGGCCCAGGCTTGAGCCACACCCCTTGGGGGGACTTTGCGGTGCTGGCAGGCCCCGGGAGGGCAGGCCAGCGGGCCCTGGGGCTCCTGGAGCGAGCTTTCTCCCCCGCAGTCCACGGCTCCTCTCTTCCCTCTGGGCCAGGTCCTGGGAAGGAAGAGCTCTTTGGACCCAGGCTTGTGAGGGAGTCCCCAGGGGAGCCTGGTGACCCCAGTGGCCGGTCCTTGCCTGATACCTGAATTTGTTAGATCCATTTTATTTACTGTAAAAGTGGTCAGCAGTGCGCCCTTCTTCAACCTGGCTACAGGAGAAAGCCCCACCTCACCCCAGCAGCCTCCTCCCAGGCAGTCCCCACGCCTGCCATCCCCAATCTGAGGAAGCCCTTGCCCAGGATTCTTGACCTTTTCACCTTGAACTCTGAGTTTTCGGGCTCCCCAGAGCTACTGCTGGTGGTGGCATTCAGCTCTTGTAAGCCACCTGAGGGAGGAAGATTGATGTTGGGAGCCCTCCGCTCATGTCCTAGCCGCTCACACACATCCCACCTGAACTGGAGCCAAGAAGCCTAAGGAGTCCCCAGTGCATACGGCGAGGGGGTGCCCTGAGTGTGCTGCTTGAACTTCAAGGCTGTCACAATCATTCCCCCTTTGTTTACACAGCCTGCCACGCGCCTGCTTGTCAGGTGTGCCTGCCAACAGCCGAGCCCATCTTCCTCATCCTCCCAGCCAAGGCAGACCACCCCAGAGAGACCGGCACAACCTCTTCAAGACCACCACAGGAGACTTAGGAGCAAGAAGGGACTGTCTGCTGGGCTCATCTGTCCCTCAGCATAAACAGACCCCCCACCTTGTCCCTGTTCAGGACATAGAAGAAACCCACTGTATGTGCCTCACTTTTTACTGTTGGTAAGGAAATCCCTCCCTAGCCCCTTTGTTTCTGACAGCAAAATCAAGTGAGATTTGAGAAATGAAATTTTAGAGCAGAGACTGACCTAAAGACTGCAAGTCTTCATGATTAACAAAAGGAATCTGAAAAAAGAGAAGATCTGTTCCGTTCCTCTGCAGCTGTGGATGAAGGAGAGTTGTCCTGCATCCAGAGAATAGCTAAAAGAGCCTGATTTCATAAGATCTTGAATTGAGAACTTTCACAAGAATATTGCATCTTGTTCTCTTGTGCAATACACAGACTGAATATTCATAACAGTAACCAAATGGGTATGTTCTCTGTGAAAATAAATCTGTCTTTTGAAGGATTTTTTGAAAAAGGAGTCTTAAAAGACTCCCAAGATTTTAGAAATGATTGCTGTGAACTGTGAAAATAACCTCCAACTCCCCTCCCCCTGTGATTCTGATCTTTTGTCTTACTAAGTATTTATTTCTCTGGGAATAATGTTATAATTGATATTTCTGTCTTTCCCAGAGATAAAATACTTGTAAAAACTTCTGTCAATCAGAAAATAATCACTGGCACTTTTCTCTTCTCTCATGTGCATGATGCAACAATTAAAATCTTATGGCTTTGCTAGGTTTGTTGTTTAATAAATAATTTGAGAGTCTGTCTCATTTAAATTAACAGGCCCAAGGCTCACAGCATCCATCCCACTGAATTCTAATGGCCTGTTTATTGTCACACTTTCTCACCAGGCTGTGATCACAAAGACAGGACCAAGTCTCTCTTGTTCTCTGTATACCCTCAGTGCCTGGCACATGGGCGGCATGGGGTTGCCATTCCATTCCCTCCTCCCTGGGCAGCCAGTGTTGGTGGCTCTTTGACTCTCTACCCTGAATCCCAGATTAGCTTCAGAATCCTACTGGACACAGTGCCCGAGACAGCTGGTACGAACTGGGTGGAATTGGCACATAAAACCTACTTGGCATCCCTGGGTGCCCCTGGCAACCAATAAAAAGGTGTGAGATGAAGAATGAGCACAGAATGATTGAAGTTCTTGAACTTGGGGTGAAGACTTCCTGCCTCCTCCCAATCTAGTCTGGCTTCCCCAGCCCCAGGGGCTCCCTGCTCTCCTGGCTGCCCAACCACTGCTGTCACCGTACCAGATGTGGGCCCTGCAGGTATACCAGCATTCTCCCTCCTTGGGTCTGCAGCACTCCTGGCTTCACCCAAATCGGGGCCTGACAGTGGGTCCACTGCCTGCCCCCTGCAGGAGTTCAAAGGTTGCTTCAGATGCATCTCTGGTGGCAGTGGCCTCTGAAATGGGGAGGGAGCCTGCCTGCCAGTGTGCCAACTGCCTGCAGGCTGCTGAGCCTCCCCACCCCAACACCCAAACTCTGAGTCCAGAGTGGTCTCCCCCAGCCCCTGCACCACCACTGAGTCCTGGGAGCTGGAATTTGGGGGCTATCCTTTCCAGGGGCTATGGGGTGACCATGAGTGCAACTGAGTGAGAGCCCGGGAAGAGCTGGAGGCATGAGGAGGGGGCACTGGGCAGGACTGAGTAAGGAGAAAAGGGTAAGGGGCCCAGTTCTAGGTCACTTTGCATGGCAACACAGGGATTGGCAGTATTCCCCGGGAGAAAGACTCACCCTTCTGGGAGCTGATGGCTCTGCCTCAGGGAGTCCCCAGCCTGGAGCAGAGGGCTCAGCCTGGAACTCTGGAAGAGCTGAGGGCACTGTAGTCCATAGGACCCCACCCCCCAGTGTGGCAGACAGTGTCTGAGATGGCCCCTGTGATACCAGCCTCCTGGGACTCATGCCCTTGTGTTGGCCCTCCCCTTCCCCTGCACTGAAGGAGTTCGGAAACAGATCCCTCCCGCCCAGCTGAGCCTTCAGATGAGCTCGCAGTCCAGGCCAATAATGCTAGCTGGACACTTCCTTAGTGGTCACCGTGAACACCCTCTCCTGCTATGGCTGAGAATGC